GGTTCCGGCTGGAAAAGCGTGGCGGCCTAACCGTTATGGCGCCCTAGACATTCTACAGGTGTGTAAATGGGTGAAGGCGAATTTAAAACGGGGAGTAACCATGTGATGGACTAGCATCTCATCCAGGGGGAAGGGAGAGTAGAAATATTTCGTTGCTCAGGCTGTATGGGCTACTGGCCTGACGCAGACTTTTTTTAATTCTAATACGTGCATCTCCATGAACAGTGCCGGTAAGTGTTTTTTTTTTTAAGACCCTCAGAGAAAAACTTCGTATTAAATTATTTAATTAAGTTGTAAACCTACCATTAATTTTTAATCATCAATATTCTTATTTATTTATTAATTTACTTTTATTATTTTTAAATTTATTATTTTTCGGTCATTGCAGGAACTCCGGGTATTCCGAGTATTCCGGTTCCAGTTCCGAATTCCAGCATTCCATGTTTTCCAAATTGCCCTCTGTCGTATATTATCGCCTATGTTCTATCGTCTATCGTCTGGGTTTTATTACATGCCAAGTTTCGGCCCGGGCTTTCCTTCTTGACATGGAATGGCTATTTCCCCGAGTTGCAGATTTGAAGTAAAACAATCATGAAATAAATATAACAAATGAATTTGATACCTGTCCCTTTCAAGCGCAATGTGGAATCATTTGTCCTTTTCATCGACGCAAGTACGGTTTCTCGGAATTTAAGTTGGGGAAACCCCTTCCCCGTACAATGGTTAATCCTCATTAATCACCACATGACACATGCAAGAGAGTGTAAAAGAAAATGTTACATATTCGTGGCATCACATAGCACTTTAATGATGAAACTCAGTTATGCTACTGGCTGCTTATCAATCTATTGTCCCTATTTATATTAACATATGCTATATTCCGTCTTTTCAAATAAAAACTTAACCAGACCTGTATTGGTTGATATAACTCAAATAATTAGCAAAATTTAATTCCAATGTTTGGGCCATCTTTTGCAATGGTTACAATCAAAAGTTTATGAAATCTCTTTCCCGCAGATGCCAGAAAGCCTTAAGTTTTATTGAAATACCGAATTGAATACCTATTAGAATTTACAATTTATTGTTTCAAAATCTGATAAATCGTTATTTTCAATTGAATTTGATTTTATTACGCCGGGAACGTTAAGTTTCTGTCTGCGTTCTCTTCTTTATCGTGACCTTATTATTTTCCAGTTTGTGAGGAAATAATGAATTATTATCCTAAAAATTAGATTGAGAAGAAGCTTTACTATCTCGCCGCACAGGAGGCCAATTGGGTGCCTTTAAGCTGTCAGGAAACGGTATAGTTCGTAAACGTGCTGGGATAGACCAGCATCCCATCCAAGAGCTAGAAAAAATTGCCTCTAAGTAATGGAAGTAGTCCAGATGCAAAGGGCAACAAGCTACTCTCATGACAGTTGGCTTCAGATCCTGCATCTCACAGCAGTGGGATTGATTTGAAATCTTTCTCAGGATACATCGTTGGATTTGATGTTGAAAATTATAAAGGCCTCGCGTACTTATATTTACGAACTAGACCCAGTAAGAGAGCCGGTTATGGTGTTCAAGGAAACTGTAAAGGTAGCTTCCATACATCAATGTCGATCAACCGGTGTAAGAACGGTACGATATATAAGAACGATACGGCTAACAACAGGGTCATCTGCTTTGAGACATGTCAAGTTAAAGTTTTTGAATTATTCCTTCTACAAACAAAGCAAGTACAACATAAAAGCAATAATAGTGCCATATAAAAATATTCCGATGGGTGGGTAGGGCCGTCCAGCAGAAGAAGCTGTGGAACAAAGGAAAACAATGTCAAAACAGATTCAACCCCTAACACAAAGAAAATATGTAAATGCAGCTTACTCCACTTTAAAGTTAACCATTAATGCAATGTAATTCCCCTTAAATGAGGATTGTGATAAATCTAAAGCTGGCAAAAATTAGAAGACTCAAGTATAGGAGAGTTTGCTTACCCTTACACTGCCTGCCATTTCCATGATATCCTTTCTTGCAGGAACAAATGTATGATCCCCGGGTATTGATGCAGTTAGCCTTTGCGTGACAATTATGGATACCCTCTCTGCACTCATTTACATCGTAACATGAGAAACCGCTACCACGGAAGCCAGAATTGCAACTGCATGTATAAGAGCCATCAGTGTCTCTGCAATTTGCATTCCAGTCACAAGGCCGACTACTACTGCACTCGTCTTTATTGTGGCAATTTTGTCCGTCGCCTTGGTATCCTACAACGCACTTACAGCTGAAAGAACCAGGGGTGTTCGTACAACTTGCTTTGGTACTGCATTGAGCTGTCCCTTCCTTGCACTCGTTGATATCTACGAAGGAAAAAAATAAGTTAATCATCTCTCTCATCCAGCGATAGAGTAGTATATGAACAGCAACCATAGAAAATCCCGCTCCTATTATCCCACTGCACATGACCGGAGTGTCTAAATAAGAATCATGATAGTAGATGCCATGGACTACCTTTTTATAGCGCTTCAATTGCTAATTGTATGCTTACCATTGCATGATTGTCCATTTCCACGATACCCTTTGTTGCATATGCAGTTGTGCGATCCTGCGATGTTTGCACACCTGGCGTAAGGGCTGCAAAGATGACTTCCATCGCTGCATTCGTCAACATCTTGACACACATAACCATCGCCGGAAAACCCAGAACGACACATACATTGATGAGAGCCCATAATGTTTTTACATTCTGCATCCCTATCACACTTGTGAGATCCATCGCCACATTCATCAACGTCATGACATAAAAGTCCGTCCCCTGAGAATCCCCGTCGACAAGTGCACTTGTAGGAGCCGACAGTGTTATTACAGAATGAATGAATGCTGCAATCATGCGTGTTATTCTTGCATTCGTCGATGTCATGACAAGACCGTCCATCGCCTTGGAATCCTTCCAGACAACTACACTTGTAGGAGCCTATGGTGTTATTGCAGGATGCATGAATGCTACAGTCGTGTTTGTTAATCTTGCATTCGTCGATGTCATTGCAAGACCGTCCATCGCCTTGGAATCCTTCCAGACAACTACAACTGTAGGTGCCTATGGTGTTATTGCAGGATGCATGAAC